TTTTTAAATAATATTTTTTAAGGTCCACTACAAGGCGTGGATTTTTTTAAGAACTTTTCAAGGCGTGACGTTTTTAATTATATTTTTAGAATTAAAAAATTATGTCTGTGTCCCCTATACTTAGTATAGAGTGTTACAACAAAATTTTGGTATATTTCAAAATTGCTGACAATTATCAACTGCAGTGCCAAAAATGTCCGTTGTCAAGAGCAATGCCAAAATATAAGTTGACTGTTTTATTGACAATTTAATAACGAAATATAAAACCTCGAAACAAGAGAATGGCAAGAAAGAACTTGACAAACAGGTGAGATAAATAACTGAAGGGTGAATTGCAGATTACAAACTAAAACATATGATTTGTGATTGAAATAAAAATGAATAATTAAACATTTTTATAGTTCACTGACAATGAATGGATATTTTTTAAAAATTTTTATTTTACATAAAAATATAAAAATTGTGTCCATCGTTTTTACGGGTAACTTTCCCGTTCAGAAAATTCTTCAGTAGGTTAAATATATGCCAAGGAGCGTCGATAACATTGTCAACCTTCTATCGATCACAGGGTTTACATGTGCAATTCACCAAATGATTGTGTCACTGCTTTCGATTACAGGGTGACACTGTTTTCAACAATACATGGTTCGTGTATATGCTACACACATAACAGCAGAAATTGTCTGAACTAATACATTTAATTACTTCTTGAACGCATGCCCATATTTACCCTACTGATGACTACTTTTAACCGACATTTTTTATGATGATCGATCAATATTCAGCGGGTCAAATGGGCCAACAAAATTTGTCTAAAAGAAGGATGGTTGACCTTTAATCTAATATCTAATCCCTTGAAATAAGAAGACGGATATTGGAGAAATACAGACTGATTTCGAAAAGCGCTTTACATATTATAATATGGTTCAAATTTTACCATTACTACATATTAAATGTCCTTGAATGAATTTAAATATCGGAAAAATATTTCCTTACCAGGGATTAATATCTGGAGAATGTTAAAGTTCATGGATAGTTGTGTAGAATTGCCGACTATGCTGCCCACTTTACTGATTTGTTCATTTGTCTGTAACTGTTAATTATTATTATTTTTTGAATCTAAATTAATTTTTGTATTTTTGGAAAACAAAATGTAAATCGAAATCTCAGATACTGCTGTCAAAATATAATCATAAAACATTTTTAGTAACGTAAATTGCTATAAAGAGTAATGTATATTTCTAAATTAAAAATATTTCTTTTGGTTTTTCTCTAGCATATCAATATTTGTTTCTTTAATATTTGATAAACCTGCCTACATTTCCCCCATTTTAGTAATACATATTTGATCCGAATATTGTCTTTAAATGTTTTTCCATTACTTCAAGTTATTTTACTTTATTTTTATTTTCATGCAATTTCCCTTTAAAAATTGTTCTCCAACAACAAAAAACATGTTCGCTAACCACGAAACGTTTAAAAAAATAAATATCAAAGGCATGATGGAAAAAACATGACTGACATATGGTCAGACAGAGACTGGTTTGGAAAACCTACAATGAGGATAATGTGTAAATGCATTGAACAACTTACGAGAACGACAACAACAACAACAGTAGCAAAAAAAAAGAAGAAGCACACAAAAAACGATTACCACTCAGAGTCACACATCAGTACTACGTGTACTGCAGCAGAACACGTTTGTGTTCGTGCAAATCCAAAGATATGTTCATGTCCGCATCATGTGAGCATTTTGGAAGTGAAACCTACAATTACGATTTTTTATTTTGCTTTTTGGCAGACATTTAAAGGTATGAAATCTCAAAAACGTAGTTTGGGAGGGGGAAATAATAAGAGACACAATTATTGGAAAGTTTTTTATGTATTTTTTAAAAAGAAAATTGGCCTAATGAGTGAAGTATATTTTTTTCAGAAAAAAATCGGAGATAACATTTAGAAGTGATAGTAGAGATTAGGGAAATAACTAAGCAATATAATTTGTGGTATTAATTTATATAAATGACAGTATTAGTTTGAAATATATAGTTCAGATTTTAAGTATCATCCAAGTCGCATTAAAAAAAATCTGATAAATAGATTCGAAAATAAGACAAATCTGTCCCACATAATATTATAATCCTCATATTACGGTATTAGGCTATGTGATCACTGGGTAGTAACTCTTCCCTCGAAAATTAAAAATATCGATCGCTCTCTTGGTACGCTCCCCATATATTAGTCCAGGTCTTTTGTAGGTATTTTGATTCTTCTTGGCTATAATTTTCAATATAACGCTATGTTTCTACATAGCGTCCATTCAAAAGGTAGGCGACGTGTGTTCAAGGTATGTACTCGACCTATTTTCTAACACAAGATTCCATAGTTTCGCATTTCCTGGCAGCATTTTGTCATGGCATAACCATTACATTAATGTTTTGATTGATGTTATGTATTTTGAATGCCCACCTCATGGTTCAGGGTATAAAAAGTTTAGCCCGGCAGAATTTAACGACAATTGTAGTTGTTTTTCCTTTATCGAAGTAGATTTACGTTGACATTTTGAGAGGGCGAAAGATTTCCTCACAGAAAATTTTCATTATCGGTACGTGTTATAAACACCCTTCATTTAAAGGTTCCGATCTAATTTAGGTATCTCGTAGGTCTCTAATTACCTATGATATTACTAAAGATTGAGATTACTGGTTCCGAAAAAAAACAAATTAAAAGGTTCTTGTTCTGATGTAGCCGGCCATATTGAGACACCTTTAGGGTCCCCTCCTTCGGAATATGAGATAACAATTAATTATTTCGGATTCGAAGAAAACACCTCATGAGAGAAAATAAAATCAATACAGTACCCAATACGGGCTTTGACAGATTTTACGATTTTTTAAGACCCAGCCTCATTTTTCAACCGAAGTACCAGCAATTTGAAATGTTGGGTTCTCATAGGATAGAATACCCCCTAAGGTCCTAAGCACTTTATTTTATCAATGTGTCTGCTATTTTGGGGTTCATACAGTACAATCGATTTGTCAAAAATGTCTGAGAGAAGTTGTGACAAAACACTGCTCCGAATTAGTTCTATTTTTCATATATAAAAAATTGTATCCACCGTTTTTACAGGCACCTTTTCAGTTCAAAATATTCTTCAGTAGGTTAAAAATGGACACGAGTTCAATAAGTAATGAAATGTATCATATGCCAAGCAGCGTCGATAACAGTGTCACCCTGCTATCGATCACAGGTTTACATTTGAAATTCACCAAATGATTGTGTATCTGCTATCGATCACAGGGCGACGCTAAACATATAACAGCAGACATTGACTGCAATTTGGGGTTTCAGTTGACATAACCATATACTTTAAAGATCCAAGGTAATTTTTTCATACAGTACAATAGATTTGTTAGAAATAACTGAGAGAAATTATGACAAAACACTACTCCGAATTATTTGTATATTTAGTGTATAAAAATTGTGTTTACCATTCTTACAGGCTCCTTTTCAGTTGAAAATATTCTTCAGTAGGTTAAATATGGGCACGAGTTCCACGAGTAATGAAATGTGTCATATGCCAAGGAGTGTCGATAACACTGTCACCCTGCTTTCGATCACAGGGTTACATCTACAATTCACCAAATGATTGTGTCTCTTCTATAGATCACAGGTCGATACTGTTTTCGACATTACATGGTTCGGGTACACGCATCACACATAACAGCATAAATTGGCTGCAATTTGGGGTTTCAGTTGACATAGCCATATACTTTAACGATCCAAGGTAAATTTTTCATACAGTACAATTGATTTGTTGGAAATGTCTAAGAGAAGTTATGACAAAACACTGCTCCGAATTATTTGTATTTTTCGTATATGTGTGTCTACCGTTTTTACATGTAGCTTTTCAGTTAAAAATATTCTTCAGTAGAGTAAATATGGAAACGAGTTCAATAAGTAATGAAATGTGTACTATTGCATTCTAGTGCAGACAAATATCGTCAGAGAGCATTGTCATGTGTGTAGCGTAGATATAAACCAAGAAATGTCGATAACAGTGTCACCCTGATATCGATAACAGGGTTACACCTGAAATTCATGAAAATATTGTGTCCCTGCTATCGATCACAGGGCGACACTGTTTTCGACATTCGTTCGTTTACACGCTACTCACATAACAACGGCACATGTCTGAACTAAAACTTTTAATTACTTCTGGACGCATGACCATATTTACCCTACTGATGATTATTTTTAACTTAAAAGGTATGTGTAAAACCTATAGTGCCCATTTTTACCCTACTAACATGATCGTTTTTATGATGATCGATCAATATTCAGCGGGTCAAATAGGTCTAGAATTTTCAGTAAAATAATAAAAAAAATCGATATTATGGCATAGATGTTAACTCCGTAAAAGTTTTGTCTATTAACGTTGCCTGTGTCTAAAGAGGGATGGTTGACCTTTAATCCGATATAAAATCTTTTGAAATAAGAAAATGGAAAAGCGGTTTGCATATTCTAATAAGATACAATATTATAAATTACATTACATGTCATAGAAACAATTTAAATATCGCAAAATATTCCCTGACTGTAGATTAATATCCGGTGAAAGTTAAATTTCATGGATAGTTGTATAGAATAACCAATTATGCTGCTCACCTTACTGGTTTGTTTATTTGACTGTAACTTTTAAATTTTTTTCACTTTTATTTTGGTATTAATTAATTTTTGTACTTAATTATCATTTATTCAAAAATTATAAAAATTCCATTCCTTTAAATATTAAAATTGCCAACGTAAATTTACTGAATGCTGAGAACCATTTAAGTGCAACAAAATTATTGAACATGGATGCCTATATAAAATGACACTCTTATTTCTACTCAATAAATTTATGTATTTGTATGCCTATCTGTACGACGAAGAAAATGTATGTCATCATCATAGTTCCATTACAGTTCGTTTTGGGGCAATCGTGTGTCCTTATAGTTGTCCTAGTCCTCGTGATTGTCGTCACCAACGTCATCGTCATCATCCTCATCATCACCACCATCATGGTGCCAAGAATCATCATCATCATCACAGAAATCATAATCACCATCACTTTGTGTAGTTTTGTTTTGTGCCTGACTTTTGACGGAATGGCAAATGAAAGAGGAAACTGCAACTAACGTGGTCGAATGAAAAAAGACGAGGTTTATAAATAAAACGTAAAAGTGGTGTTTTCATTTTGTTGTTTACAAATAGAAATAAAGAAAAACCATACGAAGGAAAATCAAAACAACAAAACCAAACAACACAACCCTTCTTTTTTTAGACAGAGGTTACTATTTTTGTAAAGCTTTAGCCATGACAGTGTACACGAGGAGACTTTGGTGCCGCAGTTAGTAGAGGTTGTTTTTTTATTTTTCTCCACTTTCTTTATTTTCCGTTTCTTTTGCGAATGTTATTGGCATAACTGACACGTTTTTGGTGGAAAATGTCGAAACGAAATTTCGCAAAGCTCTTTTTTTCCTTCCAGATAACAGTGCTGGCAAGTGTTGCAACTGACCGACTGTTATAAGCTTTTGCTTTAGCATGACTAAGTTATGAGATTTAAAAATTTAAATGCTATATTTGACATTTCGAGTGTAGGTAATAAAATAAACCGTTTATGATAGTGTTAACATTTTTCTAATGCAGGTTAGCGTTGAATATTATGGAAGAGGTAATAAAAATTGTATTTCATAAAAAAATATTATTTTATAGAATACATATGAATGGAATGGTATTTGAAAAGTGTTGCACAAAAATATATCTGAACAACAGGAATACATCTGAATAAGTGAGGATGTAGAAAAAATTATTATTATTATCGATATGAAAACAGACCGTCCATCTCAACAATCAGAAATGATTTAGATATATTATCGTCATCCGCCACTTTAATTTTTAATAAAGGCGTATGCGCAGTTATGGACCGCACTTGTTAAGAGTGACATGCTTGCCCTGTCGTTCTATAAAGTACATATTCATATTGAAATATTTTAATTTGGCATATGTAGAAAATTGTCCTAGCGGGTCAGGTATGTTGTATAACACTTTTTTATAATTACCACAATGAAATGTAAAGGATGATTTTCTATAAAAATGTATTATTTGAAGTAGCCCACAAAACAAGTACGGACAGAATTTAAACATTAGAAGACCCTAGTCTAATTTTGCAAAACAATTGCCTTTTGTTTAGAATTTTAGATTTACAGGGGAAAAAACTCATCATAGCAGAAAATACCAGCATATATCTATGCCTTAAAAGCTCACACTTTGTCGTTGTAATTCCAAATTTCGGATTCTAAGAGCATTAAATGTTTGTTGGCTGAACCTCTTCATCGTATATCAATGAAATCCCAAAACTATTCAGAATTATTTGTATTTTTCGTCTATAGAAATTATCTCTAATGTGTAACGGATTCGAAAAGTTGTATTTCATAATGAGTCCAAACTTTAAAGTGCAAAATATTCATTAGTAGGGTAAATATGGACACACGTTCAAAAAGTAATCAAAGGTGTCAAATCACATTTTAGTACAGACAATTGCCGTCAGGAGGTGCTATCGTGTGTGTTGCAGAGATACGAACCATGTAATGTTGAAAACAATGTTGATGCTATCGACAACAGAATTACGTCTGTACTTCTTGAAATAATTGTGTCCCTGCTATAGATCACAGGATGACACTGTATTGATTTTACAATTTTAGGTTATTAAATCGAATCCCAAGAGGAATGAATATGCCCAGGTTGAAATAGGTCAAAATGATTTCAGTCGGTTTTACGCCTACCTTTTCAGTGTAAAATATTCATCAATAGGGTAAATATGGGCACAGGGTTCAAATGTGTCAAATTACATCTTAGTACATACCGTTGCCGTCAGAGGGCACTGTCGTGTGTGTTGCATAGATACTAACCATTTAATGTTCATAACAATGATGACGCTATCGATCACAGGACTACGTCTGTACTTCATCAAAGAATTGTGTCCCTGCTATCGATCACAGGGTGGCACTGTTATTGATATTAACATTTTAGGTTATTAAATCGAATACTCAGTGTAAGAATATGCCCTGGTTGAAATAAGTCAAGACTTCTTCCCCATATAAATATCCAATATCCTTTGTATTTTATTGTAAAAGTCATAATTTTAAATCTCAAAATATGTGATTGTAATTTATTATTCCATATTGCATATTCACCGGCGACCCAATTAAGTATAAATATTTTATATTCTTGGTCCGAAGAAAATCTAATGCAGATTTAGCCTTGTTCCTCTGCCGAATCGCGTTTGAATTCGTTTATTTAAAAAAGAGCTTTAAAAATTTGAATATACACTGTGACAAATATTTAAGATGGAGCTAATATTTCCAGAAGGTTTGGTATTTGGAATTTTGGGCACATTTTTCAATCAAATTTCACAACTATGTTGTCAGGATATTATAGCTTTGTGCAGCCCTAAGCGTATGTAACACCGCGAAATATTGGTCCCAGACCCACCCTTTAGTATACCGATCGCCATATCTCGACTAGCTGAGTCGATCTAGACATGTGTGTCCGTCCGTCTGTCCATTATAATTTGTAAACACGATACAGGCCACAGTTATGGATCAAAATTCACGAAATTTTGCATGCAGGATGGGTTCTGACCAATGAAGACCCCTAATGTTTTTCGTAAAAATCAATTAATATTTAGGGGATAAAATTGACCAAATACTAAATTTTTGTCGGTTTTTCTGGTCGCTCCAGAGGCCACAATTATTTCCCGAACATCGTAAAATTTTACGTACAGAAGGGATCGGGCCAAAGAATAAGCATGCCTGTTTTGATAAAGGTCGGTTAATATTTAGCGGGTCAAATGGTGAAAAATGACAAATTTTGTATTCTATGGCATATATATTTAGCTCTGAAGGACATAGACCCGAGAAGTGGTTGGCCGTTAAGTTGATACCAATTATATTATCGTATAATATGAACTCGGATGTTGGAGTTACATTTAAATATTTACTGGTGCTTACGTATTAATGTATTATTTTGTAACTCATTACCACACTGGAGGACGGAAATATAGCGATGATCGATTTAAAATTTTCCATGAGGTTCCAGTTATGGCCAAGGACAACGCCTATAATTTTCAGTGATGATCAGATAATTATTTTGGGATAAAGTGGACAGAAAATATATTTTTTTAGTTTTTCGAATCGATTTATTGGCCACAATTATAAGCCGAACATCACCACACAATATTCGGGACAGAGGGTGCAAATATAACGAAATATTGCCCAGGCTCGGAGTAAACATCTGCAGGATGTTGGAATTCCGTGGTAGTTGTGTAGGGTATCGGTATGGTCGGCCCCGTCCGAATATACTGCTCCGTTCACTGGTATTTTTAGACCTTTTACTGGGTGGCAAAACTTCGTAAAAACGGTTCAATATTGGTATTATGGGGAGTTTGGCCACGATTTTCAAAGTAGCTGTAATTTTATATTTGGTGAACATTTACCCACATTTCGGGTAGCACCTAATTAACGGATGGACCCTAAATAACCCTAGATAACGGAATTAGGTAATAGGTAAAATAAAATCATTCGAATTTACTGCAGCAATGTCATCTCAAAAAATGCATGCAATAGCTACAAATCCCGATATGAAGCTTTCTCCTCAAGTATAATGGGTCGCCAACAAAAAAAAATATTCCTCTGGGATTTCATATACTCACCAAGGTCTTTCAAGACCATGGCGACGATTTTGTGGCACAGTGTAATGGGTACATATATTTAAACCTTCTATACTCATCATATGCGGAACCTATAATGATTGCATATTAAAGAGTCAAGATGTCGGAAAAAATGTCATATAATGTATGAATAAAAATAAAACTTTACTCCAAGTAAAAAAATGGTAACCAAGAATGGCCACTTCTCCTTGAGAGCGGTGTGGATTTTAGAATATAGACGACTTTATGTATTTTCGGTTTGCGCACTTTATTTGTCGCTGCACTTTATAGCTTCAGATCTGGCAAATTTTAAAACGTGGTAAAACAGAAAATTTTTACGAATAACGATTCCCTGTCATTTTGCGAATATCGATACCCTATCTGAAATCTTATGACCTATTTTTTGTGGAATACTCTATGATTCAAGAAAATAAGGACGAAATAGACGAACGAGAATTCAAGAAAACAAAGAAAAATTCTCATTCATTTTGAACTGTCAATTGAAGTTAAATTTCCTAACCTCCTTTTCATTACAGCTCATGTATTTTCTATTGGATTTATAAAAACACTTCCCCTTACAATTGGATTTATACAGAGCAATGGTACATGTGTGGTCTCTCTACAGATTTACTGGTCTATATAAAGGCATTGGTCTGTATAGAGGCCGATTAAAAGTAAATAAAGATCACAGTTCTGCAGAGGTATGTATAAAGATCAATGAGTTTGTATATGGAACACAGAGCTTTATATAATCGAATTGGTCTGTATAGGGGTCACAGGCCTTTGACCAATTGGTATGTAAGCAGACTGATTGGAAGTGTATAGATACCACAGATCTACTGAGAGACCATAGGTCTCTATAAAGACCAATTAGTCGGTATAGGGAAAACAGGATTTTATAAATGCCAATTGGTCTTTATAAGGACTTGTGACCTCTATACTGACCAATTGGTCCTTATAAACCGCTCTCTTCTCAAAATAAACAGATAAACCTCTGTTTTCCTACAGCGTATTACCAATTAATCCATTTTAATAAACCTCATAGTACAACATTTTTATTTTCAACCCCGGTTCAATTTTTTATATCAAAGGGTAATTCATATACCTTAAAAAGGTGATAGTTTTCGTTGTGAATAACTTTTGACCCAATTTTATTTTAAAACCCATAATTTTTTACCTTTGACATCATACCCTCAATATTATTGATTTCAAAATCATTTCAATGGTCATTAAATTTCTTGTGAAATATTGCTTCTTTTGTCCAAAAAAGAATTTAAGGCGTTGCTCTTTTTTTGTAGCAAAAATTTTATCTAATCTTGCAGATATACAAAAATATCCACATGGTCACACATACACAAAAAAACACCTTGAAATAATCTTCTTGGGG